GAACATGGAGTTCAATTCAAATTACAATACCATAGCACATAACCAAAAACAATTGCCATTACAATATCCAAGTGTAACAAAAACGAAGCAACCACATGAATTTTGGAATTACAAAATAACTTAACATACTAACCACAGTTAAAACAACCAACATATGCCATTTTCTTAAAAATATTAGACCAAATGAAGATTTCAAAACCTAACACTACACTTGACCATACGAACTACTCTTGATCATGACCTTCATTAGCCCCTCCAGGCTCCTGCTGACATGCACCCTGACCTTTACATGTCCTTGAGTTGTGTCCTTTTTGTTTGCATTTTTCACAAGTGACACTCCCAAATTTCCAACTAAGCTTCTCCACTTCTTTGGATCCTTGACTTTGACTTTGACTTGCTATCACACTTTCAATTTGACTAGACTTTTCCTTTTGGATCATTCTTTCCTCCATGGACTGTCTTCTTTTCTTCTTTAGCCTGCCAGACATTTTGTGGTGTGGCGGTGGGATAATTCTAGTGGGAAAATCACTTTTACACCACATTGACCTGCCTTTTATGGGTTCAACTTTAAAGTCATATGCAGCCTTCCAAGTTTCTAGTAAATAAAGTTTTTTTTTACCCAAGTGTACAGCTCCCCTACCTTTTCCCCATTGTCTTTCATCTCACTCCAAGTGGCTATGGCATGCCTGCAAGGGATTCCTGCTAACTCCCACTTCCTACATGTGCATGTCATGTGGTTAATGTCCACAACATGTTGATCATTCCATGGTCCAACTACCTGATACTTTCCACCACCATTCCACCTTACAATATACTTAGCTGCTTGTAGCTCATTCTTCTTTAACAATTTGGTTGCAGTAGGTGTGAGAGGACCTTGGCATTTCCTTTGCTCTTTAACCACATTGCAGATCCTCTTCATTAGATATTACCTTATAAATTCCAAGCATGTAATGATTTTCTTGTCCCTTCCTTTCTCCAACTTACCATTCAGAACTGCACACATGTTATGTAGAAGCACATCTAAGATGGCCCTTCCTTTCTCTAAGCAAGTCATACTGCTCTGAGTAATCCCCAACAACATTCTTTGTAGCCCTTGCCTTAGCCATAAATATAACATCCCAAAAATACAACCCAAAATATTTTTGTTTCAATATTACTAAAAACCCACAATATAATATGTCATACGATAAAACCATGAATCATGCGTCTCAAAATGTCATAATAAGTTTATCAAATCAACTGATGTCAAAACATATCAATATATCTAAAATAAAACTCCCAGGATAAACTGAAGCTGTGGTGTGTGCCATGCCATCATCCCGAGCTCTTCCCCTTACCAGCGAAAGTACCTGAAACCAAAAACTGAAACTGTAAGCACAAAGCTTAGTGAGCTCCCCCAAACTACCACATACCATACAATAGCATATAGAGCAACTACTGGACCTTGCCCACTGCATCGGACCGAGGTCCGGAAACTGCATCGGACCGAAGTCCGAAACTAACCAGGGTCTGCCCTCTGCATCGGACCGAAGTCCGGAAACTGCATCGGACCGAAGTCCGGAACTAACCAGGGTCTTGCCCTCTGCATCAGACCGAAGTTCGGAAACTGCATCGGACCGAAGTCCGGAACTAACCAGGGCCTTGCCCTCTGCATCGGACCGAAGTCCGGAAACTGACTAAACATAGCGTGGCATAATAATAACTACTAGCATAAACACATATACTGCATACTGCATCGGACCGAAGTCCGGAACACATAACACAAAGACATGCTTGAATCACAAAGACATCAAGCACACTAAACTACTGCATCGGACCGAAGTACGGAACTACTGCTAACTAAACGGGTCGGCATTGTGGCCGTAGACCTGTTCCTACTGGAAGGAAACTCACCTCGTAACGCTAGCTGCTGAGGTGCTAAATCTGGAACTGTCTGACTGCTGCTCCGGAACTCCCCAGCTACAAATCCCATAAACACTAAGTCAGATATTGATAACTAATCTCAGGGTAAAATGACTATTTTACCCCTGGTCCAAGTCAACTTCCTGGTCAAAGTCAACTTTCCAGTTGACCGGACTCGCCGAGTTGGGCTGCCAACTCGTCGAGTCCCTGTCTTCATATCTAATTCTCTGCCCGCTACTACTCGTCGAGTTTAGCATAGGCTCGACGAGTTCCACTTCGATGCTAATAACCAGTCCATCTTCAACTGACTAGCCGAGTTGTATGAACAACTCGTTGGGTCAGTTCTTAAGGCAATAAGATTGCCTTGGACTCGCCGAGTCAGGGCGCAGACTCGCCGAGTCCCTCCATTACTAGATCTACATCTCAACTCACTGAGTCTAATTCCCACTCACTGATTCCACTCACAAACTTTCAAAGGGGAAATATCGGGGACTCGCGACTCGACTCGCCGAGTCAGAAGAGCGACTCGCCGAGTCCTTAGCATGCCATTACTATTCAGTTGATTCTGTTCGAATCCAGAGCATTCCATTCATAGATCTGGACTCCTAGGGCTGGACTTACACGTAAAGTTGGAAACTTTACGTGCAAACATGCTAATACGAAGCTTATAAACCCAAAATAAGCTAAAGGAAGAGATCTAAGCTTGGAATGGAAACTTGGCTCAATAAAGGTGGCAACCTTGAGCTTAAGAGGCTCTGGAGAGCTTAGATCTGAAGTCCATTCGTCATCTCAACTCTTAATTCGACCCTAAAGTCTAGAAAGGGCTCAAAATGACAATAACATGCTTTCTAAGAGATCTAATAGATAATAAACAAAGATTCCAGCTTGATACCTCCAAGAAGACTGAAATGCAACAAGAAATTCGGATCTACTTGCTCCCTCTTGAATACTTCTCTTCTCTCTTCTTCCCCAAATCCCGAAGATGCACTAAAACCTTCACAAGTGAGAAAATGCTCCAAAAATGCTAAAGAACGGCTAGGGTTTCGTATGGAACTCTTTGTGGGTGAGGGAGGCTGGTCTTGGGGCACATAAGGTGTTTAAATAGGGTGCAAACCCCTGAAATTAGGGTTTCATCCAGACTGGCGGACTCGCCGAGTCCGAGAGTATGGACTCGTCGAGTTGCCAACTTAAATCGCGTGCAACCCCCGACTCTACTCGACGAGTCGGGCTACTGACTCGTCGAGTACCTCTTAAGGAAATCAAACTACTTGATTAAATCACATACCAGAAAATGGGGCGTTACAACATACCAGAAAATGGGGCGTTACAATAACAACGCCCAAAAACATCAGACACTCCACCTTCTTCCCCCCGTTGCCATGCACATGAGGGTATTTTCGTCTTTTCATTTATGGGGGGGGGATACTCATCTATTACCGCACATATAACGATGCCCAAAAACATCAGACACTCCACCTTCTTCCTCGTTCAATTCTCATTAACGTCTAACCCTAAATCAAAGATATCCACTCCAAATCCTTTCTTGAGCTGAACTGCAGTCCTGTAGGTTGAAGGAAAAAATGGTGCATTCACTGTGGACTATACGTCCTACAATGATGGGGTTTGATGCACTGGATTTGTATGGTGGGTGTTATTATAGCTTTTTAAACTTAAATTTTTTGAAATTTCACACAATACGCTAACTGCATTTTGTATTTTTTGTTGTTTGGGATAGTTGATCATCCCCATTTGTTCACGATTGAACTTCGCCATGGTGGGAAGTTCACACATTTTCAAAATGTAAGACGTGTGAAGGGGAAACTTACATATATTTCTTGTTCTCCTCATTTCTGGAGAAAGTGATTTTGATTCACCTCCATAAACCACAAGTGGTAATGATGAACTACAAGTTTCATGTTGGGGATCATCAACTATTTTTTGTTTTCTTTGTTTTGGTTCAATTGCCACTTAATCTTCTTCATTTAACTGCTCAATAACAACGCCATTACTCTTATTTGGTGACATGAAGTATGTAACCAAGTTGGTTGTGTCATGCTCAGTATACACCTGGATCACCTTGTTAGCTCCAATATATTTAGCTAGGTTACACACATCTTGATCATTACCTAGAGCTCTAAGGCCAAAAATCAACTTCATTGAGAATCCTGAAGTGATAATATATTACTGGGGGAACCACGTATCCTAGTTCTAGCATCATAGCGTCGAGTTCATGCACTGAAAACTCATCTATATCAACTAAATCAATATATGTAAGTTTCCCCTTCACATGTCTTACATTTTGAAAATATGTGAACTTCCCACCATGGCGAAGTTCAATCGTGAACAAATGGGGATGATCAACTATCCCAAACAACAAAAAAATACAAAATGCAGTTAGCGTATTGTGTGAAATTTCAAAAAATTTAAGTTTAAAAAGCTATAATAACACCCACCATACAAATCCAGTGCATCAAACCCCATCATTGTAGGACGTATAGTCCACAGTGAATGCACCATTTTTTCCTTCAACCTACAGGACTGCAGTTGAGCTCAAGAAAGGATTTGGAGTGGATATCTTTGATTTAGGGTTAGAACGTTAATGAGAATTGAACGAGGAAGAAGGTGGAGTGTCTGATGTTTTTGGGCATCGTTATATGTGCGGTAATAGATGAGTATCCCCCCCCCCCCCCCATAAATGAAAAGACGAAAATACCCTCATGTGCATGGCAACGGGGGGGGGGGAGAAGAAAACGGAATGCCTCTAACGGCAGTTAGAGGCAGGGACCAAATCCACCGCTAAAACTTCAAATAACGACGTTTTTTGCTAGCAATTTTTTTGGACCCTACCCATAAAAATTGGCAAACCGCAGGGACCATTTTTATAATTTTGTTTTTACTTTATTTTTTAAGTTGGATTAACTTAAACACCTGCTCTTGAGACTCTATGTCGTCGACAAAAGCCAAGTCATCAAAGGTCACATATGGATGAGTTACAAACCTGCAATTTTGACTAAATTGCAAAAGTAAAAAAATGGTTTTATTGTTACAAAAAAATCATTACTAGCTTTTTCAAGGAAAAGCATTTTCCTAATTTAAATGTTCCATTTTATTTAATTTCCTTCCTATAAAAGTTCAATACTCAAAAACCATTTCCCTTATCCACAAGTCAACAACCATTGCAACATAGCTTTACTTGCAAACAAAATCATTTGACTTAAGATCTTCAACAAGCCTATTCAAATCCATCCACGAAGAGCCATTTTCCGACACACTTTTCGCACCAGCCTCCGCCACCACTTTTGTCGATCGGAAAAATTCACTCCGTCGCACATCTAAAACATCTTTCACCGCCTTCTCGACCACAAATCTGTCACAAGTTTCTTTTATATCAATACCAATCTTCCACACTTCGCTCACAAACCGACTATTGACATGTTGGTCCACTTTAAGTGGCCAACAGATCATCGGAACCCCCTCCACCATACTCTCCACCGTCGAGTTCCATCTACTATGTGTCAGAAAACCACCGAATGCAGAATGGGCTAACACCTCCTCTTGCGGAACCCATGTTGTAATGAACCCTCTCCGGTTAGTTTCACCGACAATATTCCCCGGAACTTTACTCTCATCATAGTCTCCGGTGACCGAACCAGGCCGTTTCACCAACAGGAAAGGGTATCCACTGTTCACTAATCCATGCCAGATTTCAACGAATTGGTCTACTGTCATTGTTGCCATGCTTCCGATGCTAACATAAACGACAGATTTTGGTAGTTGGGTGTCTAGCCATGAGAGACAATCTCGATTTTCTGTCCATAGACTGTTTGAAACATTGTGTTGCGTTGATTTTGGGAGACGGGATTTGAGCAGGGTGTGTAATGGGCCTATGCAATATATGTTTGGGCAAAGACTGCGGATTTGGTCGAGTATGGATGCGTCGAGAGCTTCGAATGTGTTGAGTATGACTCCATGAGCTCGAGGAACTTGTCGAGCTTCGTTCATTATAATTTGCATAACGGGGTTGGTGAGGTTATCGTAACGATAGAAACCTGGAAGATCCCGGCGCCGGAGGAAAGTTTCTGTTCCGGGAACGTTCTTTATCAACACATCCAAATCGATACCTGAATCAAAAAAAGGTTTTCATTTTTCATTTTTCAACATTTGAAGTCATATATCGCCGGTGAAAGGAAAAGAAGGAGCTGCACTCACCGTTGAAAGGGACCTCGCCGGCTCCGATGAGCTTAGGAAGACACAAGTATGTCCAAAGTGTGCAAGGACTCATAGTTTCAAAATAAATTAAAGGAATCTGTATCTCTTCCGCGACATCAAGTGCAAATGAAAATAATCCGTCGGGTATTACAACAGTCACCGGAGAATCGGATTTGCAACTGAAGCATCCGGAAACCATCATGTCTCTGAAAGCTGGTTCGGTCACAGTTTTCATTCCTTCAAACACCTCGTTGTAGCGTGCGGTGGAACGAGGATGGTCGTCGGGGAGTCCGTCGGAGATGGTCTGAAAACGAAAATTGGGGTAGCGGCTGAATCGGGACAAGACGTTGGTATGACGGAGGAGGTTTCGTTGGATGTAGACGGTGTTGAGGACAGTGACGGAGATGCCGGAGATACAGAGGAGCTCTGCTAATTTGAGCACACAATTGACAGGACCTTGCATTGGCAAAGGGAAAATCAGGACATGGGTAGACATAATTAACTGAAACTCCGAGAGAATCTTCCGAGAATACGTACTTTGGTGACAAAACAGCAGTACTTCAGATTTCTCAATGGCTGATGATCAAGATGTATGCTACTTTATTAAAAAGCAAATTACAAAAGTTGTCCATGTGGTATTAGGAAAATTATAGATATGGTCCTTAAACTATTTTTCATCATACATATATTCTAAAAATGAGTATCTTGTATGATTTTTATCTTTGGATAGTCTAATTTACTTTGAGTTTAACCATTAAGTCCATATAATGATAATTACATCCTTATTCGTATCTCCTCCAACTTGCACCCAATGAACTCAAACACATGAACTTAACATTTTGGAGATTAAAATAGCATAGCAATAGCTTTAATCCGGTAAAAGGATGTTTCTTTCTCCAAAATTGACGATGGCTCAACTAGGAGGATGAAAAGAATAGAAATGAAAGCAAAAGAAACGAAGAGCGAATCACAACTAATCTGGGGTGAATAAAAAATGTATGTGGTTACAGAGGAAAATTTATGGTTATAACTTTTAAGGATGTTTTATACGAGAGAGAAGAAGAAATGAATCTTTAATTGTTATTTGTATACAAAAATGATTGTGCTATCTTGGAAATATGTTCATCAGTTATTAAATTGGGCCATTTGCGTTAAGTGTTCTATGATACTTTAATACAAAATTTATAAATTTATTGGTAGAAGTAAAGGCTTGTGAGTAAGTTTTGAAAATTATTATTTCTATAATGTATTATATTAAACTAGTACAAAGCATGCGAGATTATCACCATAGGAATTGGTTGTGTAATAAAAGATAGTTAAGGACCATTTATGTAATTATTCTTTATTATTTAAATATCAAATTAAAATAAATAATAGTGTCTTTGTCTTTATATACTGTTTGAATATTTATATTATCACTTGTAGATATAAAATGACACAAATTAAATATTTTTGCCACCGTATGCGACATGCGACTATAATATATATAATCGTGTCAAATAGTATTGGCCAAGTAACGTAATATTCTTTCGAACGGTGGTTACATAAACTTTGAGAATATTGGACTTAAGAACAGATACCGGACCTATAATACCAATTTCATCCGACCCAATTCACAAAATGTGGTAACGGATAGAATTTTAGAGGCTTCTTAACCATCCAAGCTTCTCACTGGTGTAGTAGGGTGACATGGCTGTGTACCCGTGGACGAACACCACACCGTCGCACTTGGTGATCTCTCTCTCTCTCTCTCTCTCTCTCAAATGTTTGAAAAAATAACTCAAAAAAATCCATTTGACCGGTTTAACGACTGAATTAAATTATTTAACACTTTATAAATACGGATTAATTTTAACATTTAATCTCATATCACCTTCTATGTTTTTTTCTTATTCATTCATTTTTACAACAAAATAAATTCCAACAACCCCACCCTAAATTATGGTAAAATGAAATATTGTGCTGATAGTTCAAGCAAGCAAACCAACTAGAAATGTATTTTCTTTTGATTCGTCGATACCACCCCAATTCATTCCTTTCCAATTTAAATTTTAAAATGTTCAATAGTGTTATCCAATGTTTATACTAAACATTACCCCGAATTTTTTCAACAACTTCTTTCCTTTTTCCCTATCATGTTCGACAAATCCAACCCCATCTCTTGTCACAAAGCCTGAAATCCTAAGCACCGTATCTTTAGGATTTCTAGAATATTTAAGTCAGTTAAATTTTAACTAATTGATATTCAACCCCTTTAGGTAATTAATTCTCAATTAATTCCAAAATAGTTTATAATTAATTTGTTTACCGCAATAAATTAATAAACTAGTTATTGTAACGTCTTGTTGTACGTGTTACTATTTTTAGAAGGGTTTAATGAATTAATATATTACCTATACAGTTAGAAAGATAAGAGTAAATAAATGTTAAGATATTAGTTTATGCGAACTAATATGTTTAAAAGGAAAAAAATAAAGAGGTAAATGAACAAAAAAGAAGTATTTAACAAAACTGGATATTAATAAATGGAATAATAATAATAATAATAATAATAATTAGGGGGTGACCCATGCTTCGCATGGTCAGTGTATTTTTTTACATTTGTTCTTTCTTTATAGTAATTTTGGTTGTAATTCGTAATGTTTTGCATTGCAGTTGAGGCTTATTTCATAAGAAGTACACAAGTTCATTTAAATTGTTCAATGTACACAAAATGTGGATGTGTTAGACAACATCCTTATATTTTACTATATTTTCCGTATGCAAAATGTGGGTGTAGGCATCTTCATTTTGTACTAATAGTCAAAAGATGGATAGATGATGCGAGAAGCCAATCACTCAGGGTCGGGATAGCGTACGCGTAGCGTGACAATGTCATCTGTGGAGTGAAATGTGTTACTGAGGTTGAAGTTACGGGTGTTTAGTAAAAGTTGTCTTACCTGGAAAGGTTAGTCGCTTGCTGGTGTAGGAGTGGTATTCGAAAAGTGCTGGTGTCTGCGGTATCTGTCAAAGGTGTTGCCGGCATTGGAGTTGGTGGAGTTGTTGGGTGCCAAAAAATAATAAATCGCTGAATCAAACCACACACACAAAACAAAGAACAAAAAGCATAATACACAAATATAGTTCAAAGATATGGAAGTCATTTAAAGATCAGTTTTTTCTTGACAATGCAACTGCACATGGAATAACAATACAAACAGCAAAGTTGACAATGATAGGAAGCAAAGAACAAATGAAGAATAGACAAATATGAATGCTATGACACCCCATTCGAACACTATAACCACAATCAGAAGCACAATCCCTATGATCACCAAAAGCAAGCAACTCTGCATGGACCAAATATCACACAATCAACATTTTTATAAGAACAAATAAACTAAAATTTGTTCTTCTAATATTAAGAAAAAAGTATACCATGGAAGAGTTTGATCTTTGAGTCTTTGATGCTTTAGCAAGATGGGATTTTCCCTGTAAAGTTGCAGCATGAGAGTTCTCGATGTTTGATCGAATATCATCTGAAACAAATTCCTCACATCACAAAAATAAGATATTAAAAAAAATAAGGAATAAAAATGGGTAAATGTGGAAATTATACTAATCGATCATAGCTCCTTGTTCATGAACCAAAACAACAAGATCTTTAAATATTCATTCACCTCACCAATTTGGTTTTGAATCTCTTGTATTCACTGATCTCTTTCCTCAATTATAGCCTCATTGAATGCAATCTCATTGGCAATGCCAACACTTCATGTATGCTAATACATACTAATAATAATTAAATAGTAATAATAATAGTATACAATAATATATTGATAATGGGTGAAAGCAGAAAACTTGCCTTCTAGATTGGAGAAGGGCATGTTGTTCTGGACTTCTGCCTGAGCTTGCATCCACTTCACTGGCTTCATTACTGCAGATTATTTGGAAAAAGTTAGATGATTTGTTCATTCATCATCATAAGGGTAAACTTGGTAATTGAACTTTTGTAAACAACTACTAATGCAATACCGTGAGGAATGAAAAGGTTGATGAACAGCAGGAGAGTAAGTTGTCTCTCTTTTAGTTGCAAGACATTGTGCTTTTTGAAATTCTTTTAAAAGTGCTTGAAAATCTTTTGCAAGCTTAACATCTGTTATATTTTTGTTGGCCTGTATAAAAATGAAAACATTCAATGACCAAATGTTTACACCACTCATTAATAAGGTGTTATTAAAGGTCGAAAACATTACAAATTTTAAGACATCTTGAAGATCATGTGTTTGTGTTTAGATATGTGAAGGGGAAGAATGAAATATACAGTTTGACAAATTCCAAACAGAATCGAAGAAGAAAAATCGATAACAGAATATGGGAGTAAGTCAAAAATAAAATAGAATATAGTTGGGTGGCTAAATCCATACATAATAATAATTCAATGGCTAACTAAATCGATAAAAAAGGTGAAAGTAGGTTATGTTTCTCTTTGTTTTTCCCTGATAAAAAAAATAGATTAATTAAAAAACACTATAATAGCCTCATCACTACAAAAATTAGTTAAGTGTGAAAGTGCGTTGCTAACTAAAAGGTATGAAGGTATAAGTGATTCTATATTTGATATGTACTGTGATTCTATGAATTCAAATTGTTTGTTTCTTAGTGTCACAATCCAAGGAAATCTATTTGTAGAGTGGTAATACCAGGTATATGGAAGAAAAGGCGAACAAAAAGTGCCAAGAATGCTGTCAAAATGCCATATTCGCCCTTGTAAGTAAATTGTAAAACAAATAGGAAACTAACTAAACTGAAAGAAAAAATATAGAAAGTAATTATGTATCCTATGAAAATTGTAACATTTTGACAAGACAAATGATTTTATAAAATTGTAAGACTACAAGGAGCGTACTTGATCCAGGATGTAAGACTTGTTGGTGCTTGTAGAGAAAAAAAGAGGAACAATAAATGCTTTTTGAATCAGTGTGCCTTTTGAAAACATCAAAACCCTATAGAGAAATTGATTATTCCTTTCATACATATTTAAGATGAGCCATCAAATACCATAATATATATAAATATGATCTTATGTGCACAATCATGTAATTATATACATATTGAACCAAAATGCAGTCTGACCATTTGTTTTGATCTTGCTCAAAGTCAACCCCTGTAGTTGTTCCACTAAAACTCTGAATAAATGTAAAAGCTACACAAGAACCACAAAATATTCGACTTCAAACTGATGACCTAATAGAAAAACCGAAAAGAAATATCTAAAAATCAAAAAATAGAGTGTAAGTTATAATTAAGCTTTATACAGTTCTTAAGCTATATTGAAGCAGACAAAAACATACCTTTTAAGTCATTTTGTTCTGAATCAAAAAATAGAGTGTAAATAATTTCAAGAATATATATGCTTAATTTGTTTCCAGGTGCTACTAACCCATCTTCCTTTAAATGTGAATTATTTCAAAAATGCACCTTTACTCATGATCTTGTCCTTGTTACATTTAGGATCAAAAGGAAAAAATCCATAAGCGTTGTAGCAAAAAAATCACTAATATTATGGTTAATCAGCAATATCTTTATATCAT